GGTAATTCTTATGTTTGTAATTTCAGTTTGCTAATTTGATTGTATTTAAAAGAGCCACCCCACCCACAGGCATGGGAGAAGAAACATAGGTAGGAAAGTGGCCACTGGGACATCTGGGGCACCTATCAGAACTAATAGGAGGGCTGAGTGAGTAGTCACCACTCATTCATTTGGCTTAACAATGGCTAGATAGATTACTAGTGACCAATCACGGAGGTCACACCTATCTTTTCCCTGGGACTTGGCAATCACCAGCGGTATCTATGCAGTCTGTTAAGAAGTACAACAGGGAGACCCCTGACCTCTTCTTCAGTTTCAAAATAAGAACACTTGACCCTGGGGAAGCTGCTGCCAGTTGAAGGAAAAGTTCAATCCCTCTTCTGGAGGAGCATTTGGACAACGTCAGCTGACTGCATTGCAGCAGCAACACTGTGTGGTCCAACCCCATTCAGTCTTATCTCGGAGTGGGTCTAGTCCTTATGTTAAACTTCTATAACCACCTGAAGAAGGTAGCTGCCAAGATGAAGATAACGATCAATTTTTTGACCGGTGTGCAACTGTGGTCACCTAGAACAGGCCATGAAACATATAACAACTTGTAGCATGTTGGGGATCATGGGGATGCCATGACACCCCATGGTGGCTCTGGGACTGTGCCCTGCTCTGCTCCTGGAGTGCCTTCCCTTCTTGCCTGCCAGACCGTTGATGGAATAATGAGCTTAAAAGGGAGGCTGCCCATCGGCCTTCACCTGGCCCCAGTCCAACGGGACCCTCACTGGGGTTCCTCAGCATCCTACTGGTCTCTGCTCTGTTATTCCCAGGCCCTTCACTGGGCCTCTTTACAACTGTGCCACTGCAGGACACCTGCAACCTTAAGGCCTAATTGTGTGACTTCAATCCTCCCCTATAGAATACCCCAAGCCTTGTGGGTGTTGCATTGTTCACCTTCTCGGCCGACACTCGTTTGCTCTCAGCTTACGGTAAGGGTCACCAAAATATGGAATGGGCTTCCAAGGGAGGTGGTGTTTTCCCCTACCCTGGAGATGTTCAAGAGGAGATTGGACAGGCATCTGGCTGCAGTTACCTAACCCCAGTGCTCTTTCCTGCCTGGAGCAGGGGGTCAGACCCCATGATCTACCAGGTCCCTTCTGACTTTAGAAATCTATGCATCTATGAAACCAGAAGTGCTGGCAGAAGTGTATTTCTGGTTTCACTGCTGCCTAAGCGATTGGCCGCTGGGGGATCCCCCTCCTGGTCAGTGATTGGCTGCTGGGGGACCCCCCCCCAGCAATCTGGTGCCACCCCCCCACTCAACTTGGGAGGCACCAGTCTCCTATGCTCTCTGCCCATTCTGGGCTCAACAGTTGCTCAGCCCTCGAACCTGCCCCTGGCAAGGCTCAAGGTGACCACATGCCCCATGGGCATGAATGGGACCTCTGTATACTGCCCCTACAGTCCCAACCCAAACTGCCAGTATACCTACAACATAAACATAAGCCCCCAGACTGCTACATAAATACCAAAAGGGGAACCAGCCCTCTGCCCCTTTAAGAGGAAACACTTTCCCTCACCTCTCAGCTATGTTAGCCTCCCAGCCCTAGACTATATCCTAGTGAGCTCCTCTAGCCTAACCAGGGATCCATATACAGCACAGCCATCCCTCCAGGAGGGGGCCTTTCCTTGCAGCTGGGAGCTCTTCACTCTGGCTCTCAGGGAGAGACTAGCTCACTAGCCTGAGCCTCAGGCTTATATCTTCCCAGGGCTCTGCCCACTTCTGCTCAGCGGACTGCCTGGACTTTCTGCAGGTGCCTGCTAGTTGGCCCAAATGCCCTGTTGCCACAGTGACCTGCAGCTGCTGCACCCTGCCTGGCCTGCAGTGCCCCCCTGGCTGGGCAGTTTCTGCCTTAAAGGAACGGAGAGCCCCAGGCTTTCTGTTACACGACTCAATGCCTGATTCACAAATATGAAGGAGGTATTCACAGCAATATGCTCTGCTGCTCCTGATGCAATTGTCTGGCTCAACCACCTAAATGTAAAATTATAGTTGCTGTTCTGTATCTACATCAGCCATATGAAAGAAGAGGAAGATTGGGTTACTCTGGCATATTCCACCCCTGAGCAGAAATGTGGTTGCCTGCTAGAAGTGTTTCTGAGGAGGCTTGTTGAAAGTGCTTGTTTTTGAGAGAGTGAGCTGGGTGTCTGTCTTGCCTCTTGACCATTGCCTTTCCATGGGAAGTCACTATCCTTATGCCAGATGAAGTAAAAGAAAAAAGAAAAAAGAAAAACAGTTTTTAGTGGTGTGTGAAAGATGCAGTGACCACAAACCTGTTGTTCCTGCTCCCTCTTTATGGAACTGTTGAGGGGTCTGCTGTATTGCTCCTAGCTGCTGTTCTGTTACGTGGGCTACATTGTTATCTGTCTTATGCTGCTGGGGACAGAGCCAACCTGAGTCTTAACATCCCTGAGATGCACTCTGATTTTCTTCCAGAATTCAGATGGATCCCTCTCGAAGATGATGCAGAGATGGAAAGAGTACCAGCTTCAGTGCCTGAAGTATTTATACGAGGCTCCCCCCGTTGTGGCAGGTAAGTCCAATTTTAAGCAAGTGGGATGACTGTTTGATGTTATGTCTGCTAACAGCAGCCAGAAGCACCTTAGAGATTCGAAAGGCCCTCTGCCCCCATTCCTCTTCCCCCACTCCCTCCAGCCCACTGTCTGCATTAGATTGCTTCCTGGGATAACAGGATCCCACCCAGGCAGTAGGAGAACAGATTGGCTTTATAGCTGCTCCCTTGCTGGCATTCATCTGTCTGGCCTACAGCATCTTGGGGGTGCCAGACCTCACAGGTGGTAGCTGCAGTGCAGCTTGCAGGATAAATACAGTTCATGCTGATTTTCAGTATGTTCTGCAGCCCTGAGTACAGAAGAGGAGCCAGTGCAGACATGGCTGTAGTCTTTTACAGTAACCTTACTGTGTGGTAGGTAGCAGCACCCTCACTAGGTAGTGCTATGATGCTCTGAACAGGAAGCAATATCGTCACTTTTGTGTGATGCTGAAGATGAGTTAATGAGCATGGAAGTGGCTGTTGGGCATGGTTTCTCAGCTGTGCCAATTGAGTCATGTCTGTGCTGCTCCTGGTTTAGAAGGAGGCCTGCATGGAATGGCAGAGTGTGCTTTAGGGAGCTGGCCGGCATGGTAAGTTTATTAAGCAGACAGGCTCCACAGTCCTAGCAAGGAGTTTCACAGGAAGCTCCAAGGGGAAGAATCCTACACTGGGACATATAAACAGAATACAGCGTTACACCAGGGCACCTGCACATGTCTCTGATAGACTTGCAGGGGCCTTAAAGCAACTTAATACCTGTAAAGTAGGGTTTGGCAGTGTTGGAGCACTACAAATGTCTCTAGTATACATGAGAATGCAGCTCGTTTTCAGACAAATAATGTTCTTATTAAAGACAAGGAGAGCTGCAATCTGCTCCTCATGATGCCTTTCTGTGGATCCCAGGAATTTGTCCATGTGACCCCATGTTGGGATCACTCACACTGCATCCATTTGTCAGGGCTACAGTGAAGCCCTGAAAAAGGCCAGACAGGTCTCAAGTTATGTTTCCTAAACATTATTTTGAAAGGTATTATCCATTTTCCTCATGTCAGCCCCTATTAGTTGTATTGCTACAATTCATCTTCCTTTGCTATGCTGTGCTGCTAAGTGCTGCCCTCTGAGACAGATGGTTTAATAAATCTGAAACTGAAGCATTAGCATGTTGACTGAACAGTTATGCAGAGCAGTGGTCATACATGCGGGCCTTTCAGCAGTGTGTTAGTTGAGAATCTGCAATGGCATGACAGCAAACTGATTCTCAGGGAAGGATTACATGCAGTATTCATAACAAGGATGAGTTGCTGAGAGAGCCAAAATGAGAGGTGGGCGATGCACAAAAAAAAAAACCATTGAGAAAGGGCAGAATGGAAGCTGTTGGCTACAGGCGCTGTGCAGCATTATGTCGGAAAAGTGTTGTGTCACCTCTGTGACTGACATCTCAGCTAGTCAGGGAGCAGCACTCCAAAATCAGTCCTTTCTTGCTTCTTTGTGTTCCAGGAGCATGTCCAGGAATTTTTTTCTGCCCCCTAAAATACAACAAAAACTATTTTTAAGATCATACGGTGCAGCTCCTTCTGCATCTTTCTGTTTCTCACTGTTTGCTGCTCAAGCTTATAGCAATTCAAGGACAGTGCCTGACCCCATTGTATGTCTCTTTGCAGAAGGCAAGTTTTGCAATAGAACCTTTGACAACTATGCCTGCTGGCCTGATGGGCTGCCTGGGACCTTTGTGAATGTGAGCTGCCCTTGGTATCTCCCTTGGGCCAGCACAGGTAAGGGGCTCTTCCTTTCTGGGCAAACCGAAACCAAGTATAAGATGCTTTTCTCCCAGCAGCCTCTTGAATTTACACAAACCGCTACATGATTGAGGTTTGGTTCAGATCACTGTGAATCAGCTAGGACACTTTAAAGCTTCTAGTTCAGTGATGCAGATCAGTCCTCTTTATGGTCTGCCTTATTGTAGGCAGAAATAAAGGAAGGGAGAAGTTGTCATAGAAAAAAAATTATACTTGATTGGTGTGTGTGATCCAATCCTATGTTTGGATGCTCAAGTAATAGAGTCCAGGGAGCTTATAATCACATAATGCTTGTTCTAACTGTAATCTGAACTCAATATGTATGGGTGTGTGGCAAAGTGGGGCTCCCCTACTAGCCACTGTGCTATTTTCCCCACTTGCCTTTGGGCACACCACCCACCTGTCTCACCTGCCATGCCTTGTTGTTAATTAATTAGGATATTAATTAAGGTGGGAGGCTGTCCATTCTTGCCCTGATGCCAGGGGGCACTATCTGAGGCTCCATTCCTCCCCTGCATGACAGCACAAGCCTCACAGATGGCATCCCAATGACAGTGTTCCCAGCCTATAGTCAGACTAAGCTTAGCCACAGACACATGCACATTCATACCGTCCTCCTCTCACTAGGACCTCTCACACTCCACCCTCTCTCACAGGGTTTCTTTCATGTGTCGACAACTTATACTACCTTGCTCCCTCTTGGAGCGGGCCCCTTAGACCATAGGCTTTAGCTAGCTCATACCTTGGGTGGCAGATGTACCGTCTTTTGGGCCTCTCCCATGACCCTCAGCGTGGTGGTGGCCAGCCAATTATCTGACTGGGTCTAAGCTTGCCCTGGCCACTCCCGGGCCAACTCTATTGACTTGCACATACTTGCGCTCCACACGCTGCCCCCTCACTGGGGCTGCTGTCTTCATTGGGGCTCCACACACAGCCCCCACAGTGGGGCCACGGGGCTTCTCTCCCCGGTGAGCTTAGGTGGCTGTAACCATGCCTGGCCCCAACTACCTTTCCTCAGGGTCCTACACCCCCAGGGTCTTGCACCCCACAAGGCTCAGGTGGCCACAGCCATACCTGGTCCCACTACCTCCGATGTTACATAACCCCCCCAAAGGTGAGGGCTAAGGTTAAGGTGCCCTGACCCGCTTTTCACCGGGGTGGTAACTGACCTGGCATTTCCTGGGGGCCCCCGTGCCACTGAGAGCCAGACCAGGCCACCCACTCCTGGCAGGGTGCAGTTCTAGGTTATACCCAGGACCAGGAGCCTCCAAGCCATCCCCTACAGCTCCTGCCCTTACCTCCAGTATGTTGCATGAAGCCTTGCAGCCAGGCAATGTTACTGCCTGCCCTGTTTATACAGGCAGCCAGGGATCGAAAATAAATGCCGTGATCAAGCACCTGCTGGCTGCTTGGCTCGGCTCTTAAAGTGGCAGGCACCAACAGTGCCCTGCCACAGGGTGCAATTGGAAAACCTAAATAAGAAGCTGCTAAACTGGAAGTTTCTTTGTACTTTTCTACTTTAGGTTGACTTGAGGGGAGTTTTTAATGTTCCTCTTTCAATTTTGCATGACATTTTGACATGTACAATTTTGCCTGTGGTCAGGGAAGAAGGTGTCTTGGGAGGCATTCTAACCTTCACTGCTGTACAAATGGATCATTTTGATTGTGTTGTCACATCTCCTGCATGACACAGGTCATATGAGTTCATCCCCTGACACTTGTATTGAGACTAATTACTTGTGGAGCATGTCTTTCAGAAAGACCTTCCATTTTTACTTAAAGTTCAAGTGTTTGAGGATTTACCAGCCGCCTTAAAGCCATTCCAGTAGCTTGCACTTGTGTCAATAGGAAAGACTCTAAAATAAAAAACCTAGGTTTTGGGTCTAGTGGCTTGAGGGAAAGGTGTCAAGCAGATTGTTGTGGCTCACTGATTCCCTAGTTAGCTTCAAACCAAACCTAATGGAATTTATAGTAGCTTTAAACTTATTAGCTGTTAAATTCCAGCAGAGCCATCTACCAATGGCGAGTGTTCTGGGTCACAGCCTACATGCCTGTTCATCCCTGATATGGGCTAGTGTGGTGGGGATTTTGGAGGTTGTCTACACTGGATGCGTAGCAGTTAGGAACTTATTACATATAGGAGAGAATCTCAGCAGTGGAGTCATAATTGCTTCCCTATTTGCCTGAATAGCCCAGTCACAGATCCTTTTTGGTAGGAATGAGCAGCCCATCTGACATCACACTCTTGTTTGCAATGACTTGTGTGTTTCTGGTGTTACTGTTAATGGCTTGTGGTTTGTCTGTCTTGGGGATTGTTGTTTCTTAGATATATTTCTTTTTCATTTGCCCAAAGTGAATATAATTTTGATCCTTGGTTCATATTTCTGACTTCCCCAAATCCATTTTGTATGATTTTTTGTTTGGTGTTGGTTGCAACTACCAACCTGGTATCCTCTGTGAATTGAATTAATATGCTGCTTGTTTACCCTCTCCAGCTCATTAATAAAGATATTAAATCTTTAAAGCTATTTAAAATTTCCTTTACTAATGTACAGAATGAATATTTACCTCCCAATTACTTGACCTAAGAGCCCAGAACTCTTTCCAGTAACTCTAATCCTTCTGGATATCTAATAACCTTCTTACAGGATTAAACTTCTTCCCTCCAGCAAACCCATTTATTTCCAATCTTTAAGACTCTACGTGCAGTCATTTGACTTCCAACAGCACTTGAAACTATCGCTGCAGGAGAGGTGCCAGGGCTTAACACAATGCTGCAGGTTAATAAATTATCAGACTGTGCAGTATCTTTCATATAGTTTTGCAAATAAGCAAAAAAATTAATTATCCTGAAAACAGAATATTTATCAGTGAAAATAACAGCAATGGTTTGTATTTCTACTGAGCTTTCTAAGGGAGGATTGGAAAGGAACTTCACAAACACATTAAACCTCACAAGCTTACCCTCTTCATCATTGTATATACCCCTTATTGTCCCCACTATACCCCTGGCAGATGGGGGAAGGAAAGGGAACAAGGAGTGAAATAACTTGCCCAAGATTATGCAAGAAGTTAAGAGTCACAGCTGGAAATATTATCTGGGAGTCTGAAGACCATGGTCTGACTCACCATTACACTGAAGTCAGTTACTCCAGTACAAAGTAAGGCGCAGGCTCAGGCTCAGGGGTGATCTGGTGGCCACCTATAAGTTTATCAGGGGTGCTCACCAGGAACTGGGGGAATGTCTGTTCACCAGAGCATCCCAAGGGATGACAAGGTCGAACGGTCACAAACTCCTCCGTGACCGTTTCAGGCTGGACACAAGGAAGAACTTCTTTACTGTCTGAGCCCCCAAGGTCTGGAATAGACTGTCGCCAGAAGTGGTTCAAGCACCCACTTTGAACGCCTTCAAGACACTTTTGGATGTTTATCTTGCTGGGATCCTATGATCCCTCCTGACTTCCTGCCCCTGGGCGGGGGACTGGACTCAGTGATTCTCTGGCGTCCCTTCCAGCCTGAATGTCTATGAAATCTATGAAAGTAGGTGTCCCAGGGTTGCCCAATCACTAGTTTCTTAAACTTTTTTTCTCCTAAAGGAAATGGCTTTTAAAAGTGTAGGGAAATATTGTAGGGGACCCTTGATTCCCTGCTGTAACCACCAAGCATCCTTCTATTGTTTTCTTTTACAGAGCACTGCCTCTTCCATAACTTCAAAGCAGGATCGAGTTCTCCTGGCTTTAGAACCATATTCACATTCAGTTCCACACATGGAGCAAACTGAAAGTTTATTTGTGTTTGCTTGTTTGCTAATGAATGAGGCCATGTTCAGGAAGTACTTTGAAGGGCTACCTGGTAACATTTTGATACTTCCCAGTGAAGTGCAACTGCTGAATTTGGAAAAATGTAAATCCTACTCATTTGGGCCTGAACTTTAAAGTACTTTAAGGATTACTTTCAAGACTCATGGTAGAGGTGATATCTTTTATTAGACCAACTAGATTTTTGCAAAAAATGTCTTTAATTGCAAGCTTTTGGGCACAAACACCCTTCATCAGGCATCAGAGGAAAGATTGTAAAAGATTTCCTGGGTGGAAATGAAAGCTCATATTTCATAGGACAGTTGAAGGTGTGGTAAAATCTCCTGTTTGGAAAAGTTTATTTTATATGCAGACTAGGCTCGGAGAAAAGTTGGAATAGTCTGTTTACCTTGAAGTTGTTTGGTGGTAAGCAGGATGTGGGCATATTTCCTTCTGGTTATGGTGTTTCATATTTCACAGAGGAGTAAATAGATGGTTCTGGGCTGGCATTTCTTATCTGGTGAGGTGTCTCTGAGCTTTCTTGTGAGGCTCTGTGATGATGTAAATTACCATGAACAAAGGCAGGAGCATTCAGGTGGTCAAAGTTGCTTCCTCCTTGTCAAATTTGAATATTTCATTAAAAAAATTGGCTAAAATTCAATATCTTCCATGTGTCAGGTATCTGGGTTGTAGCCGTATTGGTTTAGAGGAAGAAGCAATCAAGTCTCATGGTAGAGGTGATATCGTTTATTAGAGCAACTAGACTTTTGCAGAATTGCTGGCCTTTTTTTGCTTGGAAGTTGGCCACATAGGTGGAGTTTAGGAACAAACTATTACAGGGGTTTTTCTCTGCACAGTTCCTCTGGAACTGGTCACTCGCCTGTATAGGATCACAGCAATCTGATATGGCAATTGGTCTGTTTCCAGTTTGCACAGTGGGAGGTGGAGTCCACTGCACTCACTAGGGAGAGTCGATTATTGAGGCTGTCACTGATGGAACATAACAAGCGAAGTAATTCAAAAAACTGCACTGCTATTTAATACATTAGGGTTTGGGATATTTTTCCCAGTAACTGTTTAATATGATTGTTTACATTAACAAATAATTGTGTTCCACGTAGCTGGTGGCAGTTCTGTTACAAGCCTGAGCTGGTATCAGCCAGAGTAGATGCCTGGGAG